AAATTTCTGGTAAAAAAATCGTTTTGTTGGACGTAATTTAAAGATTCAAAGGAATTTCAAACGTCCAGTTTTCATTTAGGGATGGCGCGCCTCTTGTGTTTGTAGCCCCGTGGAAAGATGAAAAGTGTGAAAAATCTCTCAAAACTCCGCGAGCACATAAACCGTGATGTGAACATAAACAGTGTCTGAAATAATTTTTAGAGACGAGTAAGCTCGTGAAGGTCTTTGAAAGTGAGACTGATGACTGATTGAACTATTTGATTTGTGGAGCTGCATGTGTGGACTGTTGCACGCATTTCTGAGTACGCGGAATTACACACAAATCATTGTGCGCGCGCATATGTAAATCTTAGTTTACACTTGTGGGTAATATCGTAACCATTTTCCAATCTTTTGAGACGAACTATCTCCCGATAGAAGGGCCTGAGACGGGAGATACGCGCTTTGATCGACACTTTTGGCAACGAATGGCGATAGTGAAACTAAATTGATTTCATTGATCATATTTGTACTCACGGCTGGCAGCAGAAAGCAGAATGATAACATTCAGTCAGAAGTATAGATGGGATTGTTTTTTTGCTGGACAAAGTGTGTTAACTTCAGACTTTAATTCTGCATAGTTTTAATGCCCCGTGTCGGTTGATGGGGAAAAAAAAACCCGCGACAAAACGAAAGGGGAAGTGTTTCGGGAGGACAAGCACTGTGAAATATTTTGGTTCTCTGTAGTGTTCTCTGGATCTCATAAATGACACGCCATGTGGGGCAGACAGCATTTTTTTACCCTTGGTAAGACGGATTTTCTATAATGTATAATGTTTTTTGTAATTTTGTACAGGCACAGTATCAATAGGATTTTGGGTTTGATTTTCAATGCAAATATTCATCACTGCATATCAACAAGAACATTTCTATGTAATAAGCAATGGCATGGTTTCCTCTCCGATAGTTTCTTGTCTCTTGGCCTCACCGTCACCTGCTGCAGGTCAGTCTGTTCCTATGTCTTTTTTTTAAAGGAAAACCTTTAAGTGAAATATTAAAATGTTGTTTATATAACGTTCTTGATAGGTCAGATCAGACTAGCTGGATCTGGGTCCACTCGGTGCTCTGGAAGAGTTGAAATCTATCACAGTGGCTCCTGGGGAACAGTCTGTGATGATGACTGGGACTTAAAAGATGCTGAAGTGGTCTGCAGACAGCTGCACTGCTGGACAGCAGTGAGTTTCCATAAATCAGCTCACTTTGGTGAAGGTACAGGACAAATCTGGCTTGATGATGTGGCCTGTTCAGGAAGTGAGAGTTCTCTTACTGAGTGTCGACACAGTGGATTTGGGACACATAACTGTGGGCATAATGAGGATGCTGGTGTCACATGTTCAGGTGAGCAAACTTTCAGTTAAATCCTATCGTGATATCAGTTCATAATAAAAGTTGTTAAAAGTGGTGAAGTGATTATTATTTTTCGTTAATAAATAATGTAATTAGTATATTATATTGTTTTTACTACACTTTGTTCATTGGAGAAAACATTTACTAGTAAATTATATTTCCCAACAAAAATGTAAATGCATATTTTTTTTTAAAATAAGATTTTCTTCTTCTCTGAGACACAAGTCTCTTCAGCTGCTGTAAATAAAAGAATCAGTGAAAATGAACGTTGAACTTCCAACTGAGTTTAAACTCTAACATAACCTGTTCCCAACAGTTTTAGATTTTGCTCTCACAGCTGCAGACTTGGTGCTGTTTAAGGTTTTGACAGTAAAGATCAAATCTAAAAACAAAATTTGAAACCCTGAACGAGACTTTTTCAGTTACTTTCTAATTATTCTAATTGTTCATAGAGTTCTTTGAAAATGTTCTTTTTCACAAGACTGTCCTTTCTCAGCTGTAATGTTACAGCCTGTATGACCAAAATCAACATCAACACCATGGCTGCCATATTTTCACACACAACGGACAGATCAGCATGATTAATCAAGCGTACAACTAAAACATATACTCAGTGAAGTTAAAAATGACACACAGTTTACAATTCTATATCCAATAAATAATATGAAGTAGGCAACAGGAAAATACAGTGTGAAGTTGTAAGGTAGTTTTTTGATGATTGAATTAAAAATTTAGAATGTTCAGCAGGTCGACATATTGTGGGAAACATCACTGTGGTATCATCGAGCACCTCAACAAATGATGAAATCGTCCTGCCTGCTACTGTGTGACTATTCTTCAGCTGCTTTACTTTCTGTTCGTTATCTTTGATCTTGAGCTTGCCTGCAGATACCTTTGATCTCATTATCAAAGCATTAGCTGCTTTGCAAGGTGATGCTGACAGGAAAAGGATTAATTTAGCAGTGTGGCGCATTGAACAGCAGTAATGTGGTATTACTACTTGACAGTGACGCATAGGGAAATAATTCAGAAGCACATCTCTGGGTTCAGAGCGGAGGGAGTTGCCTTTTTTTTTTCTCGTGTTCTTCACAATGGACTTTTGGCTCTGTTTGTATTTGTTATTTATTCAGTTTAGGTAAATGTAAGGTTAACACTGACAGGCCAACTGCCTGTAAAAAAATAAAAAATAAAAATCCAGGACGTGTGAATTTTCAAGTATTGCATGCTAGTCAGGGCCATACTTTCATGGTGTCATGGCTTCTGTAGGAGCATGTCAGGATTTTCCTCTGTTTCGTCATCTGTGTGCTGCCTATGTGTTTTTTAAAGTTACTTTTGAGTCTGGTTCACTCCGAGTCACTTATTTGAGAAACAGATTGTAACCTTAACCAGCTCATTGGCAGGTTTTCTTCAACAGAGTATCCTGCTGTCCTGCTGCACATCAACCAACTGCCTGAAACTTCATTTCCTCATTCATAAAGTCGCCATCAAAGCTCAGACCAGCAACTTATTCAAATGAGTAACAAAGCAATGCAAACCAAATACGGGTGCCATCATTTAAAAAATGGATGGATAATACAAAAATTATCAAAGCGCTTTACACCACTCTCATTCATACAAGCACTTTTTTTGTATGCTTTCTATCTAACATTCACACAGATACACTCTGATGGGTGCACTGGAGGGCAACTTGGGTCTAGTATCTTCCCTAAGGATATTTGGCATACATCCCGGAGCAGTCTGGGATTGAACCACTGACCTTTTGATAAATAGATTATATGAAAAAGGCAGCGGCAGCCTCGCCTCTGTCAGTGCGCCCCAGGGTGGCTGTGGTTACAATGTAGCTTGCCATCATCAGTGTGTGAATGTGTGTGTGAATGGGTGGATGACTGGATGTAAAGCGCTTTGGGGTCCTTAGGGACTAGTAAAGCGCTATATAAATACAGGCCATTTACCATAGATTGGTAGAACACCACCCCAACAAACCAAAAATGTCTCTTAAATGTTGAAATACTGACCAGGAAAACCAGTGCTAGTGCCATTTTACTGTCACAATGCTGGCACTACACCAGAGATGCTTAAGTTAAAAGGAGAATACGGTGTACATTTACCACATGCCAAATTATTGTTTCAGGGGTCCCCCCCAAGCCAAGGATCTCCATAAATAACAGTGAGGTCACCTGGGGTCAGAGTGCCAGCATCTCTTGTTTAGTCCCAACTCAGGCATCAGATGGAACTTTCGTCCTCAAGAAGACGTCTGACTCATTCATGGAGACTAAAACCTCAAATTCCAACTCTACTATCTTCAGTATCAACAAAGTGAACTTCAGTCATGAAGGACAGTACTACTGCCAGTACGAGGAAAGCATTCAGGGTTCAAAGTTCTCCTCCCCCTTTAGTAACTCTGTAGGACTCTTTGTTACTGGTAAGGATAAATCCAATTTCCCAAGTTTTATGGTATATTCCATTTTGTATAATCTAATCAGTAAACTGGTGATAAAATGAAAACTTTAATTCTGTGTTGCTATTTCAGTAAGCTTCCCCAAACCCCATATCTCCATCAGTCCTGCTGGTGAGGTGACCTGGAGTCAGAACATTGCAATCACTTGTTCAATCTCCACTCAGGTTTTGGGTGGAACGTTCATTCTGATGACAACATCAGATTCATTCAACAGGACCCAAAATTCAGCTACAAACTCTGCTACCTTCAATATTTCTTCTGTGAACTTTGATGATGAGGGATCGTACCAGTGTCAGTATCAGAAAAAGGGCTCAAGGCGGGACTTTAATTCCCCGCTAAGTGACAGTGTCATACTCAATGTCACAGGTAAGAGCAATAAATAAAAGGGTAAAATAAAAAGATCAAAACTGATCAACTAAATAAAAATAATACAAATTTACAGATCTTTACATTTTTGCTATTACAAATAGTGTTGTATAAACTGTAGAAATTACTTGTCATAAGATATCAACAGCTTTAATTTATGTTTATCTATGTAATAAAAATATAGATATAAACTTTTTCATATAAAACAAAAAGCGCAATTTCAAAAGTACATCTTGTTTTTTCTGCATAATCTCGCAGAAACGCGGCTGCAGTTAATAAACTGTGTTTGTTTTTTTTGGTTTTATTACTGTTGACCCACTATATAAAAAAAAATGCTGGAACTTTTCTGTCATTTCAACGTTTATTTATTACTTAATTCCTTAGTGTAATGTGAATGACCACGAGAGGGATCTTTATCAGTAGGAACAGCAGCAAAAATCTATGCCCTCCTACACATATCCAGTGGGACGAATTGGAGTCTTTGGCAGACCGATTCTGGCCCCTGGGACTTATGTTTGACACCGCCGCTGTAGAACATTAAACAGCTGTTAACATTCGGTAGATCACAAAATACATGGCTAATGTTGATTGGTTAATGATGATTCATAAATAATAAGCTAACTTGCATGAAATGCTACCATTGGACTTGTTTCTGCTGCCCTTCTTAATGGTAAGTCTTTCTTTCACACAGTGAGACTGCAGAGGCCCAGCATCTCCTTGACGTCTCCTAATGCAGGACTTGTCTGGGGTCCTGAAGGTGCCGAAATCACCAGGGGTTACAGCTTTGTCCTCACCTGTTCCATTAACTCCACATTTTCCAGTGGACATTTTATTCTCAGCTTCTCTGGCTCCAACCTCACAGAGCCAGCAGTCAACAACTCAGCCTCATTTAGTTTCCCTGTAGCTGAGTATGAACGGCAGGGCAACTACAGCTGTGTGTATGAGGTCACAGTGTCCACACGGACATTCAGATCTGATGTATTGGCACCGATTAGTGTCATCATTAAATGTAAGTACAGTGTTGAATTCATGGATTTTTGTATAAAAGCAAAAAATAACATAAAAATATCAGACTGACTGTGGTAGCTGTAGCTGTATGTACCATGCAAACTGTGACCATTGCATTAGCTTATGTTTCCCAGGCTTGTTATAAATGTATACATTTAAGACCACAAAGAGAAGTCATAAAGGAGGAAAATGGTAGAGTATAAAAATAAAATGGTAAATAGACTGATTCTTATATAACAGTTTTCTACTCGTCTCTACTCAAATGTCTTTGTACAACACGCCACATTTAACCAAGCACTGTTTTCTATACTTGTCAGTGCCTTCTAACTAACATTCATACTCTGATGCAGTGGTCCCCAACCCCCGGACCTCGGACCGGTACCGGTCCGTGAGTCGTTTGGTACCGGGCCGCGAGAGTTGAGGCTCAGGTGGGAAATGTATGGTTTTCAGGGTTTTTATCGGTTTTCAGCGTTATTTTGTTATCGTTTTTATTGTTTACTCGGTTTTCCTAGGTCTTTTCACGTGTGTTATGAATAAATGTTATTTCTTTCGGTACCGGTACTAGTTTTATTTTGTTGTATTTATCCGCGACACCTTAAAGGCCGGTCCGTGAAAATATTGTCGGGCATAAACTGGTCCGTGGCGCAAAAAAGGTTGGGGACTGCTGCTCTGATGGATGCATCAGGTGGTTAATAACTTGCCCAAGGATATTTGGCATGCAGACTGGGGAAGCAAGGGATTGAACCACCCCCTTTCCAATCAGTAGATGACCTGCTCTACCCCCTGAGCTTAGGGATGGGTACCGGTATCCGGTGCCATGATGGCACCGGTTCTGACATAAACGGTAGTAACCAGACCGAAAAGCAGCGCACATTTCGGTGCTTTTTTTTTCCTGAGTTGTGATACACTTTAGATTTTAGCCAATCATTTTACGTTTCCGAGGATAGTAGGCGGGTCCAGGTACGTACGTTCTTTTAGAGCAGAGCTACAGATTAAAAATGCCCAAGGTGAAGCGGTCAAAAGTCTGGCTGTACTTCACAGCAAAATATGCAAACTCAGCAGCCTGCAACAAGTGCTTTAAGGTGATACTGTGCAAAGGAGGTAACTCCTCAAATCTGATGAAACACCTGGCAACGCATAGCAGGTTTTTTTTTAAAGCCGAGAAATGCACCGTATTGCATTAATGCATGTAAGGTGAACTAGCAAACACCGTCGTAGTTACATGCGGCTGTCTTCTTGTTTGATGGCAGATACTCCCTTCCCCCTGGCCAAAAAGGCTAAAATGACCAAAGAAAAAGTGGAAAACAGCTAAACGAGAGATTTTTGGACAAAGTTTGTGTTTTTTTTCCATTGTTTAAGCACTGCTTCCAGCCAAGAGTGATACCATATATGCCACATAGCTGCAGAAAAGGCTAACATTGTATCTTTTTACAAAAAAAAAACAGCTGAACATGAGAGGTTTTTGGACAAAGTTTGTGTTCTCCATTCTTTAAGCACCGGAACCGTTTCAAAAGTACCGGTTTGGCACCGGTATCGGATAAAACCTAAACTGAGCTACAGCCATCCTCAAAAGACCCCATTTGTTTTTGATGACACAAAATAAAAAAAGGTCTTAGCAAACCAGTTCTTATTACAGATTGTTTTACAGTAATGTTCTCAGAAAATCTGTTAAGTATACCCAAACCTCTTACAGTCACTCAGTCAGAACAGACCCGGTCTTTTGGATGAGGTACTGTCCACTATGTGTTACACCATTATCCTGCATTCTATGTGAAAGTTAGTCACAAATCATGAAGATCAAATAAAAAGAAAGTCAGACTTAATATAAGACATTAAAGCAATGATCATTTTGATGAATGTTACTCTTACTCTGTAATATTGACATTATGTTCTGCAGTATTGTCAAACTGGAGGTTCAAGCTGGCTATGCTGTAGGGCAGACCTACCCTGTAGGTGAAACGTTTCATGAGCAAGCATTGTCCCTCATTTTCTCAGATCCACCCATTGACTGACACTTTTCATAATGGCAAAAATGGTGAGATTAAGAAGGCTTGACAACAGGACTTAACAAACCAATGGGTGGTCGTGTCTAAGTTTTAGACATAGTTGAGATGAGAAGTGTTGACAGGATGAGCGGAGTGCCCTTTCAGTGACCTGTAGCCATATTCTCGAAACAGACTTGAAATAAGTTACATGTGCTAAATTAAAACATTAATGAAAAGTAGTTCATTATGTGAAGAAGTGTTTTGATGGTCAAACTGATCAAATTCTCTCTCCTTAGTCAATTTGATGCCGCTGCTGTCCTCAGTATCTGTTGGACTCCTGTTGCTGCTCCTGCTGTTGCTGTTAGTGGTAGGACTGACGTGCAGGAGAAGACAACGACGAGCCAAGAAGCCTGTAGCTCTCATCCACAGTCAAAGTGTGTGCTCGCAAATTTTAAACAATTATTCATCTGATATTCATCAGACTACATATTCACATTCTTTCCCCTTACTTGTGTTTCAGTGGCTGTCCGAGTCGGGAATGCTTACAAGTATGGAGATGAAGATGATGATGAGGATGTTGAGGACTCTGTGAATGTTGATCTATTGGACACTAATGAAAAAATCAAAGGAGGAGCTCCTGGGCTGGATGAAGATGATGATGATTATGAGGACCTAGTGAGTGATGATGATCACGATTATGAGGAAGCAGGCCCAAATGACAAAAAGTCCAAGGAGGCCTGTGTGAGTGTAGACTGTCACAGACAAGATGAGGAAGAAACTAGTGATGAAGAGGAAACTAGTGATGAAGAAAACAACTATGAGAATGT